GTGAGGACCCTTCAGGCTCAATCCCCAGCCCTGGCTCAGCTGGTTCTGGAGGCAGGGACTCCTGTGCAGGCTGGGATTCCTCAGGTTCAGCCTCCGAGTCCGAATCCCAGGCCATCACAACTGCGTTGCTCAGGTTACCCCCGGACCCAGCACAGAAGGTCTCCACCACTCCTCCTCATCCGCCCAGTGCCTGACATCTGGAATGTGTGTCTACTTGCATTGAGACAATGCCCTTTTCTCTCCTGGGACCATTTGCATTGGAACCAGCTGTTCCACCAAAACCTCTCCACCCTTGAGCGACGCCACCAGCCGCTCTCCATCTTTAAGAGAGAGACTTTTGCTAGTCTTGTTGATTTCCCACTTTGAAAACTTTGCCTGAAAGACGTGTAATGAACACCGGGATTGTATCAAGCGCCGAAGCCATTTGTTTCTACTTTCTCTCTCAACGAGTCTTTTTATAAAGAGAGTTAAGCAGCGCGGCCCTGTCAGCGAAATCTTATTTCCTAGCACGGTGATGGATGGCTGTGCACTACTCAGGCAACAGGGGCGATAACACAGAGTTATGTAACAGTGGTAATAACGGGATGCAATTTTCAGGGGACAATGTTGCTCTCGGGGAGATTCTGTCCGTGATTCAGTGCTGTGTATGCTCAGAGGATTTTGGTGATGGGTCATGGAGAGGCTCCAGGTGGAGCCAGTGGACTCTGCAGCTCAGGAAGCTAATGTCTGCTTTGCAGGATGAAAGGCCTAGGCTCAATGTTCTGCCCGGACACTGAGGTCTAGCGCCGGTGGCCTTCTGGTGGTTCCCTCGTTGCAAGAAGCCAAGTTACAGGGAACCAGGCAGAGGGCCTTCTTGGTGGTGGCACCCGCCCTGTGGAACACCCTCCCACCAGATGTCAAAGAGAAGAACAACTACCAGACTTTTAGAAGACATCTGAAGGCAGCCCTCTTTAGGGAAGCTTTTAATGTTTAACAGACTACTGTATTTTAATACTTTGTTGGAAGCTGCCCAGAGTGGCTGGGGAAACCTAGCCAGATGGGCGGGGTATAAATAATAAATCATCATCATCATCATCAACAACAACAACAACATCTGGCATCTCCAGGTACAGCCAGAAGAAACTCCCTTTCTGACACACCAGAGAGCTGCTGCCAGTCAGTGTTGGAAGTATTTAGCTGGGTGGACCAATGGTTTGACTTTTTAACTAGGGACCTCTGCTCCTGCTTGTTGCTGACCAACTGTTAGGAGTTGGACTGAGGAGGAATGGTGGGAACTGCCCCCCCTTTCCCCCTGAACCTTCTCAAGAACAGGAGGACAGTATAGATTCAGAACAGTGGTTTGCAGAAGGGCATAGTTCAGAGGCTGCAGAGGGCAGAGGCTGGGAAATATTGGAGGAGGAACAGCAGGAAGAAGAAGAAGCCCCACCAGGGGAGTGACAGCTGAAAGGCTCAGTGTCCTTGGAGAGCATTCCTGACCCACCCCCTCTCCCAGGACTAGGCAGGCATTGAGGGTAGTAGAACAGAGAGATCAGCGGCAGAAAGCTCAGATTAACCAATGTAGTAGAATAGGGAAGATGGGGTGGGACTTTGCTTGGAGCAATGCCATTATTAGGGAAGGCTGCATTCCTTCATCGCTCTCTGTGTATGATTGAATAAATTGCTTGGTAAGAACTTCTATTCTTTCTCTGATTCTTGGCTGCCACCGTGGGAGAGATCTGATTCCCCAAAGCCGGACACCAACACTGCCAATGTTCCAGTCCCTTGCTAACCTTTCACCCCCTCGCATCTCCATCCTTTCCAACCCCCCATCTCCTTCTACCCCCCCATCCCTTCTCAGCTCCTTTTGTCCACCTCCCTGACACCGCCTTGCCAATCCCTATCCTCCACCCGCCTGCTCAGACCATGAGCTTCTAGCACCCTGTCATGTGCACGTGCGAGTGAACAAATGGGTCGGTGGAGGGTGGTGGCGGCGGCAATTATGACACGGGGAACATGGGAAGACCAGCCTAGGCCACTCACCAACCTGCTTGTTAGCTCTCTCTCTCTCCTGCTCTCTCTTTATGATAATTTTTATTAGTTTTACATATAATCACATTACATAGCATCATATCACTTTATTATATCTCTTTGGCTCAACTGAGCCTATCGACTTCCCTCCCTCCTGCCTAATGGTTTACAAAATTAAATTTTGCATTCTTGCATTTCACTTCCTCTCCTGTTCAAATCTACGCTTCCAGGTGCCATAAGAAAGCTGCAGAGATAGCGCAGGATAGTGCGCACCCCAGAAATGATCTCTTTCAGCTTCTGTCTTCTGGAAGAAGGTACAGGGTTACAAAGGCTAGGACTAGCCGCCTGAGAAACAATTTCTATTCAAATGTGATTTGGGTTTTAAAAGCAGTGTAAGGAGTCTCTATGGGAGCCCAGTGGTACCTCGGGTTACAGACGCTTCAGGTTACAGACTCTGCTAACCCAGAAATATTACCTCGGGTTAAGAACTTTACTTCAGGATGAGAACAGAAATCGTGCAGCAGCGGCGCAGCGGCAGCAGGAGGCCCTATTAGCTAAAGTGGTGCTTCAGGTTAAGAACAGTTTCAGGTTAAGAACAGACCTCCAGAACGAATTAAGTTCTTAACCCGACGTACCACTGTAAACTGTATTTTAAAAATGGGGTATCAGAGTTTTTAGGGGGCTAACCAAGTTGGGATAGCTGGGATAACAGGCTTGTTGGTTTTGAATGTCTTATGTACATTCCCCCCCCACACACAATTTTGTTGTTCTGTATGGGACAATGACAATAAAGATTATCATACTATCGTACTATTCTTGTTATATCATTACCTAAGGTGTTAAGTTATTCAACCCGAATAAGTAATAACTTCATCTTACACCTCTTCAACTAACCCTGCTAGTGATGTTAACTGCTCACAGTTGTCTTTCAAATATAGTAAAGGTAAAGGGGTAAAGGGACCCCTGACCATTAGGTCCAGTTGTGGCCGACAGTGGGGTTGTGGCGCTCATCTCACTTTATTGGCCGAGGGAGCTGGCATACAGCTTCCAGGTCATGTGGCCAGCATGACTAAGCCGCTTCTGACAAACCAGAGCAGCACACGGAAACGCCGTTTACCTTCCCGCCAGAGCGGTACCTATTTATCTACTTGCACTTTGATGTGCTTTTGAACTGCTAGGTTGGCAGGAGCAGGGACCGAGCAACGGGAGCTCACCCCGTCGCAGGGATTCGAACCACCAACCTTCTGATCGGCAAGCCCTAGGCTCTGCGGTTTAACCCACAGCGCCACCTGCATCCCAACTGTAATATAAATTTATTCTGGTCTTTTTGGAATGCCTGATCTCACTGGTTCCAGATTCTTCCCGTCAGTTTCACCAGTTTTGCAAAGTCCATCAGTTTCATCTGCCACTCTTCTTTTGTTGGTACTTCATGTTGCTTCCATTTTTGGGCTAACAAAGTTCTTGCTGCACTTGTTGCATATAAGAACAATTTTTTATCTTGTCTCGGTATCTCTTTACCCACTATACCCAATAAGAAAGCTTCTGGTTGTTGTTTTTTATAACAAAGGTGTTTTCGAACATCTTCTTTAACTCATTATATATCATTTCCCAGAAAGCTTTTACGTCTTTACATGTCCTCCACGTATGATAAAAAGTAACTTCCTTTTCCTTACATTTCCAACATGCATTTTTTTGTTCTGTACATTTTAACTGGTGTTAAATACCACCTAGACATCATTTTCATTACATTTTCTTTAAGCGCACTGCATGCAGTAAAATTAAGATCTCTCTCTCTCTGCTGGCCTGGTCACTCATGCTATGCTCGCCATCTGAAGAAAAACCAGGGCACTTCTGGCCTTCATCTTTCATGACAGATCCTGAAAGCAACGCTTTCTCCTGCCTATGTGCTTCTAATGCATTTGGAGGAATTGTCCTAGCTTCTCACTTGCGTTCGTTATGCGAACTAAGCATAGGTGTGCCATCGTGCCTGCTTCATTTACATAGTAACACAGGAAGCTGCCTTCTGATGAATCAGACCAACGATCCACGCAGCTCAGTATTGTCTAACAGGGATCAGCAAACCTTTTCAGCAGGAGGCCGGTCCACTACCCCTCAGACCTTGTGGGGGGCCAGACTATATTTTGAAGGGGGGAAATGAACTAATTCCTGTGCCCCACAAATAACCCACAGATGCATTTTAAATAAAAGGACACATTCTACTCATGTAAAAACACTCTGATTCCCAGACCGTCCATGGGCTGGATTTAGAAGGCAATTGGGCCTGATCCGGCCTCGTGCCTTAATTTGCCTACCCATGGTCTACAATGACGGACAACAGCTCAGGATTTTTAACTGGGCTCCTTCCCTGCCTCCAGCTGTCCGTGCCAGAGATTGAAAGTGTGACACCCTCTACTGTGCTGCAATTCTCCTTGCAGGTTGCAGAGTTCTTGGTGCAGAACTTTGGATTACTCTTATAGCAAAAGTAGCAGCAACACATGCCAGCTGTTGTGGTCCCTGCTGATTTTATCAAGCAAGGCTATTCCCATAGTGTGTGTGTGCGCACACACGCAGAAGCAGTTACTTTATTTGGAATCCAGTGGTACCTTGGGTTACATACGCTTCAGGTTACATACGCTTCAGGTTACAGACTCCGCTAACCCAGAAACAGTGCTTCAGGTTAAGAACTTTGCTTCAGGATGAGAACAGAAATCTTGCTCCGGCGGCGCGGCAGCAGCAGGAGGCCACATTAAGCTAAAGTGGTGCTTCAGGTTAAGAACAGTTTCAGGTTAAGTACGGACCTCCGGAACGAATTAAGTACTTAACCTGAGGTACCACTGTAAATGGGAAAAGGGCTGTAGATCAATGGTAGAGCATCTGTTTTGCAGGCAGAAGGTCCCAGGTTCAATACTGAGCTAGATGCACCAGCGATCTGACTCTGTATAGCGCAGTTGCCTATGTGTTGTCCACAGCTATGAGTCACCACCTATGTATTTGGGGTAGCTGAGTGGGAGAGCACCTGCTTTGCATGCAAAAGATGCCAGGTTCAATCCTTGACATCTCCAAGTAGAGCTGAGATGGACCCTCTCCTGAAAGCCTGGCGAGTCCCTGCCAGTCAGTGAAGACATTACTGAACTACCAACTCCACCTGGTACGCAGGCTGAGACCCTACCTGCCCACGGACTGTCTTGCCAGAGTGGTGCATGCTCTGGTTATCTCCCACTTGGACTACTGCAATGTGCTCTACGTGGGGCTACCTTTGAAGGTGACCCGGAAACTACAACTAATCCAGAATGCGACAGCTAGACTGGTGACTGGGAGCAGCCGCCGAGACCACATAACACCGGTCCTGAAAGACCTACATTGGCTCCCAGTACGTTTCCGAGCACAATTCAAAGTGTTGGTGTTGACCTTTAAAGCCCTAAACGGCCTTGGCCCAGTATACCTGAAGAAGCGTCTCCACCCCCATCGTTCTGCCCGGACACTGAGGTTCAGCTCCGAGGGCCTTCTGGCGGTTCCCTCATTGCGAGAAGCATAGCTACAGGGAACCAGGCAGAGGGCCTTCTCGGTAGTGGCCCCCGCCCTGTGGAACGCCCTCCCATCAGATGTCAAAGCGAAAAACAACTACCTGACATTCAGAAGACATCTTAAGGCAGCCCTGTTCAGGGAAGTTTTTTATGTGTGACATTTTAGTGTATTTTTGGTCTCTGTGGAAGCCGCCCAGAGTGGCTGGGGAAACCCAGCCAGATGGGCGGGGTACAAATAATAAATTATTGTTATTAAGAATAAATTATTATTAACTGTATGGACCACATTTCTGACTCTGTATAAGGCAGACACCTATGTAGTGATTGTCTTTTCGCTGCCGCCTTTTTGTAAAGTGGAACTGCCCTGACTAATTTTTTATTTTAAATGTTCCACATGTTCACTCCCCACCCCCCGTTGCTTCTCTTGAAAAGTAGAAATAATGAGGGCAGAGACTGTGAACCTTGAAAGAAGATTTCCGTGTCTATTTTAAAAACAGATCCTTTACACGGTTACATCTGATAGCCTCCGAAAGGCCTTCCACTGTCTCAAAGAGGATTGAATTTCTACCTTCTTTTTCTATAATCCACCTGGCGCTTTATTTCATTTTATTATTTGGGGCTGATAATATTATTATGATGACCATTACATGATAAGGTTGTGTCAGAAAGATGGATTTAATCATAGAATGGCATACTTGAAATAATTTCTGATTGACTACAGTATATTGGGTACAATATTCCTTCCTTCCTTCCTTCCTCCCTCCCCCCCTTCAAGACTGAAATTCCCAGTTGTCAAAAAAGGTTATTTATGTATGCCACTACTGCGTCCCATGTTTTGTTAGCCCCAAAACAGAAAATGAGCGAGGTTCCAACTAAAGAAGAATGGCAACTTAAACTGATGGAATATGCTCAGCTTGAAGACTTAATATATAAAATAAGAGAACGAGAAGAACATACGTTTAGAGAAGACTAGAAAACGTTTATCGAGTATATGGAAAATAACTGTGTACAGCTGAAAATGCTGGCAGCATTAAGATAAATTTAACAGTGCAAATAAGTTATGATGGTTGTAATAATGGAAGACTGAATGGTATAGTTTCTGTAAAATATGCAGGGATTTATGATATGTAAAATGAACCATGGAAAGAGAAGAAGGGAAGTCATTGATATCTTAAGGATGTATAAATGAGTACTTTAAATTGTAAAACAGATATATATATATATATATATATATGAAAGAGTGTGTGAAATGATGTGTATTTAAGCTTTGGGTAGACAGGCAGAAGGAGATTTATAAATGTGTGTGTGTTTGTGTGTTTGTGCGTGTGTGACAAATTCCAGAGCGGCCATCCTGTTAGACAGCAATAGATTGCGGTGGATTGCTTTGAAGTCTCTTCAGCCCCTTCCTTGTCCTGTATTTTGTATTTTGCCAGAACAAAGGGGGCAGCCCTACTGTAGCCCATGGCAGTTAACTCCTTAAATTTGTAAGATTATTCTTTTCTCTCCTGGTCATTGTTTGAAAGTGCAGAAGCCTCTTAACCTTACTGGAGAATCCTTCTGAGTGCCGCTAGGCCACCAACGCCAAGGGGCACAATCGTGAGCTCACTTGCCTGCTGTCTTGAATGTGTCTTGTAAAACACCACTTTTTATTTCAGGAAGTTGGATGCTTTCATCTATGATGCAGCGGTGCTGAACTACAAGGCTGGGCGGGATGAGGGGTGCAAGCTGGTGACCATCGGCAGTGGGTACATCTTTGCCACGACAGGCTATGGGATCGCTCTCCAGAAGGGGTCGCCGTGGAAAAGGGCCATCGATCTTGCATTGCTGCAGTTTGTCGGCGATGGTAAGTCCGAAGGACTTTTTTCTCCCTGCTCGAGGTGTTCTTGCAAGAGAGGCAATTTCATTTATTCATTCTTTTCATTTCATTCATGCGTTGCCTCCCATCAAACAACCCAGAGCGATCAGCAATTAAAGCATCAGTACAAATATTCGCAATAAAAACAATTAAGGAAACCATTTCAGATCTGATATAGAAAGAGACTAGGATAAGAAATCTCCACGCAAGAGGATTCTTGAAAAAGGAACGTCCTCAGTAGGTGCTGAAAAATCCAGCAGGGAGTTCCAAAGGATACCACCACTACTAAAGTATTAAGAATTAAGTATTTATGTTATTAAATTATTAACATTAATTGCTATTAGTTGATATTAACCATTATCTATTATTATTATTATTATTATTATTATTATTATTAACCAAATTATTAGGTCACCCCATAACACCCCTGAGCCACCTAAAATATAATTCATTTGTAAAGTTCTGCTTTTCGTTTCAGGATGATGAGCATAGTTCAACTTCCTCTTTTCATAAGTTTATTCTTCATGTATTTATGTATCACCTTTTGCATGTATGTCAGGGTGATTTCTAAACACCATAAAAACACCTTAAAATATCTTTGAAAACAGTCCAAAATAAATGAGGAAGGAAGGTAGAATGAAGAACAACACAAAACAAACAGCTAAGACAGAGATCTTTTCATCCAGGTGGAAAAGCTTGTCAAAACAATGTTGCCCTTGTAGTATTCAGAAGGAGGAGAAAACTAGGAGGAGTTGGCAGTGCCTTTCATTGGCTCTGGCGCCACCTGCTGTTGGCCTCCCTGCCTTCTACCCAATGGGCCTCAGCTCCTACTGGCAACAGCACCTTCTGAGCACGAAGCTCCAGTCTTCCTAAACTGGAGAAATTGACAGAAGGCTTAAATATTTCATCATGGAACCCTGAGGAGCACAGCACGTCCACCAAGTCTGCCGAGATACTGTCCTGTCAACAAAAGCCGGACCACTGGAATCCGATGGGAGATTCCAATTCTGCCCTCTTTGTAACAAGTGCCCCATCAAACTGCCCATTCATTCATCTGGGAGAAATGTCATTTATGATAATGTTGGAGGCTGAGCCTGCTTGCTACCTGGAGGGTGAACTGTGGTGCTGAGGATTGCAGCCATCGGCATCGTAAATCATCCTTTCTTTCCTTTCCTCTCCCCCAACCAGTCTGAACTTTTTCTGCAAAGCATTCCCAGTGCGGTGTTCCCACTGTTTCCTTTGGAGTGGAGAGGGGATGTAGCCGAGGGAATAGGAAATGGTGGGAATATGGGGGAAATTATGCTTTGCCTGGCATGATATGAGAGAGAGAGAAAGAGAGAGAGAGAGAGAGAGAGAGAGGGAAATATCAGACGTTCTGCTTAACAATCCAAAGCCTGCTGAGCTTTGAAGAACAGGGTCACGGCAGACAATAGATAGCTATTAGCTTGCAAATAGCCTTGATAGCTATTACTCAGTCATCTCTGTTCCAAGGAGAGGTTGCTTGTTGTTTTGAAGCCGGTCAACTTCTTCATCCTCAAATGGCCTCTCAGCGCAGGGTGATTGCATTATTTGGAAAGCTCTTGTGTGTATCATCCTGTGCTTCATTTGACTCTAGGGGGACCGTGTGGATGTGGGAATGTTGAGGGTGGCAGGAGAGGATATATTGATTCTTAATACCCTTCCTAACTCGTGCTAGCAAGTTTCTTTATATAGCAGAGTGCATTCCCCCTTTTATGCAGCACAAAGCTGGCTGCAAACTCGCGTGAGACAACAAACAATTCAATCTGGCTTGCCCAGATTGAGATATGTCTTATTATTCCTGGTAAGACCCCTTGGAGCCCTCCTAAAAGAATAAAGACACAACAGTCTTATTCATAAGTAACAAAAAGTAGTTTCTCCTCACGATCAGGCAGAGCACAGTGTGATCCCTGAAGGCAGGTTTTTAGGCTTAAAGTTACAAACATGTACAAACAAGTTTACCCCATATGGGAGATAACCTGGGGGACTGCTTGGCTGGCAGCCAGCAGTCCAGTCCAGGTGAATCAGGAAGTTTGAAAAAGAAGATCAGAGAGAGGGAAGAAGTGGCTGCTTGACTTGGCCTTTTACCAGGTCTGGAAAGGTCTCGCCCACCTACCAGTCACATGCAAGAAAGGATGCTCCAGGCCAGGAGGAACAGGAAGTTCAACTGACTGAACCAACATGCCCTGCATGACCACTCTAGCAAAACAAGGAATGCTGAACTTGACTGCTCCCAGTGGATTACATGTTCCGTTGAGAGTCCGTCAAGGCTGTGAACAGCGGGACTGTAGCTTCAAGAACACTATCCAACCATCTCATCCTCTGTCGTCCCCTTCTCCTTGTGCCCTCCATCTTTCCCAACATCAGGGTCTTTTCCAGGGAGTCTTCTCTTCTCATGAGGTGGCCAAAGTATTGGAGCCTCAGCTTCACGATCTGCCCTTCCAGTGAGCACTCAGGGCTGATTTCCTTCAGAATGGATCAGTTTGATCTTCTTGCAGTCCAGCTCTCACTTCCATACATCACTACTGGGAAAACCATAGCTTTACCTATACTGACCTTAGTTGGCAAGGTGATGTCTCTGCTTTTTAAGATGCTGTCTAGGTTTGTCATTGCTTTTCTCCCATCCTAGGCAGCAGTATTTCATCTGCAAGGCTCACCAGGCTGTGTGATCCTGTCCCTTTACTGGAAACAGGGTGGCACAGCCGATGCAGGATTAAACCCTGTCTTCCAGCCCATCAGCTGCCATCACCAGTGACATCAGTTAAATGGTGGGTGGGCATGATCTGGGGGAAATGGCTTAGTGGGCCAAGTTGGACCCCTTGACCGGCTACGATTGACCCATGATTGACTCAGCCATCTTTCCAGAATTTTTTTCTTTTTTTAATATTATGGCGGCAGAGGAAAAATTTGAAGCACAGAATAAACATTTTTTTAAAGTCGCGGAGGCCAGAAGGCACCTTGAAAGTGGGTAGGTGGGTGGTGGGAGAATCCTTAATGATTTTGCTAATTTCTTTTTAAGAAAGCTGCAAGACATTTCTCTCTCCCTCCACCCCCACTTTGCTTTCATTCAGGATGTCTCCTCTTCTTAACTTTAGTCCTCACCGCCTTAGATGGGAAGCCCTCCGGCATTCACAGAAGCTGAAAGCATTTAGGTGGGAGTGATGTGCAATGCATCAGTCTGGTGCGATTTGCAGTGACTTATTCAACGATTTCTTTTAAAGTTCTCCTGGATCGTGATTTTCTCTCTCCACAATCCTCCCCCCAACAACCCCACAAGCCATGAGAGATTTACTCTTTGTCCTGCCTTGAATAGCCACTTTCCCTTCTCTAATTACATCAGCTTTGTAACAAAAGGAGACGTCTTCTTATCTCAGCAGTTCTTAACAGCTATACAGAAACAGCAACAAAAAGCCATCAAGGTTTTTTTTGGGGGGGGGGATGAGGGGAACCGAAAATACTGTACTAGCTTTGGTATATGCACAATGTTGCTTTATTGCATAATTATTCCTCTCTCTTATTAGCATTGCAAACTGGCTGAAAGAAGTTCCATTCTGCCCCCTCCACACCAGTACAAATCAATAGGGACAGGCAGATACCAGTGAAGTGAGTTATGTTCACGGTTGTCTCTCAGAAGTGCTGGGCAGGAATCACCAATATTGTGTAGCAATACTACAGATAGGACTGAATAAATTTTTCTGTTCCAGTTTCTCAGTTTCCACAATCTGAAGTGTGTGATTTGGTGGGGTTTTTTTTATTCAGATCAAATCAAATCAGATCTTTATTATTAATGATCAAAGATCAGCATTCGGAAACTGTGATTAGAAGCCCATAGGATACATTTACAGATGTGAATAAGAATAAGAATAAAGATAATAATTTTGAAAGGAATATTAAAAAGGAATAAAGTAAATAAAAGTAGCATAAAATAAGTAGAATGGGCACCAACATTTATGAAAACTGGAGACATAGCACAAACTTCAAAAAAGGAAGTTACAGAATGTCCGAAGTAAGTTCTTGGTGAGTTTATTTTATTTTACTTCTCATGGACATTCCCCTTCTAGCACCATATTGCTTTTAGGAACAGGACATAACATGCTACACTGTCCCTTTCCCAAGTCCAAGAAGGTAGGAGTCTGGAGCTACAGTCATACCTTGGGTTGCGAACACTGAGGGTTGCGCATTTTCGGGTTACGGACGTGCTGAACCCGGAAGTACCAGAACGGGTTACATCCGGGTTTCAGCACCCGTGCATGCGCACAAACGCTAAATTGCACTTTGCACATGTGCAGAAGTGCCAAATCACGTCATGCATGTGCACAGACGCGGTGCTGCGGGTTGTGAATGCTGTGGGTTGCGAACGTGCCTCCCGCATGGATCACGTTCACAACCCGAAGTTCCATTGTATTAGGCAGCTGTGGCTTCAGCAACCCAGACTGGGAGCTTGTAGTATAAACACTGACAACTGGGAAACACTGGCTTGCAAGCGCTCCAGTTGGAGAACAGCCTTTACCAAAGGTGTCATGGGCTTTGAAGATGCTCAAACTCAGGACGCAAGGGAGAAACACGCTAAGAGGAAGGCACGCTTGGCAAACCCTCACCGTGATCAACTCCTGCCCAGAAACCTATGTCCCCACTGTGGAAGGATGTGTGGATCCAGAATCGGCCTCCATAGTCACTTATGGACTCACTTTTAAAACTGTGTTTATGGAAGACAATCTTCCTCGGCTATGAGTGATTGCCAAAGAAGAAGATAGTCGCTGGAAGCTCCATCTCTTCCTGGATCCATGAGACTCTGGGGAGGTGCTTCCAAGGCTTCCCCAGTAGCCTTGTGTGCAGTTTATGGGCATGTTTAATATTATTTATTTACACAAAAAAGAGGCACCTCAAAGAGACTTAGCAAGATAAAACACAACCAAAAGAATAAGTTTAAAAACAGTGGAAAAACACCTGAAATGATGAAAACTGAATTGCTCATCCAATAATATATCAAAAATGAGTCCTACTCAGCGCTGTTAGAAATAAGAGGAATGGACAATGTTTGCAGCGCATCTGGAAAATAATTGTGAACAAGTGAAAATGGTAGCAGGATTAGTGTAAATTCAACAGTATAATTTTATGTTGTGGTAATATGCAAATGAGGGGGGAATGAGAATGTTTGAATAGAATATGCAGCAATAATGGAAAACTATAAAGAACCATGGAAAGGGAGGAAGGGAAGTTGGCAACTGATTTATTTCTGGAGAATGTATAAATGTGGTAAATGCGTAACTGAAATTTTAAAATAAAAAATATATATGAAAAAATAGAAGTAACTTAATTAGCCAAGGCCTGACTGAATGAAAAGGTCTTAGTCTGGTGCCTACAGACTGTCGATGATGGTGCCAGGCACATCTCTGTGGGGAGAACATTCCACAGATCGGGGGCCACCACTGAAAAGACCTGTTCTTGTGCAGACACCCTCCACATCTCCCTCAGATGGGGCACATGGAGAAAGGTCTCTGATGGAGGTCACAGGCTAGTTTGTACATGGTGAGGCAGTCCTTGAGGCGGCCCTGACACTCCTGTGTGTCTTGTTGTCTACTCTGCCCCTGTGGCCTTGACTGAGACTGTGGGGAGGGAAACTGAGAACCAGCCAGAAACCCAGGCAGCTGGCATGAGAACCTCAATTCCTGGGACAGGGATATCCATCTCCAACGCCTCTTCAGAGGCACTGGCATTGTGGAGAGCTGCCGGTAGCGACCTTGCTCCTTCTCTGAGACCTTTGATTTCAGGTCTGGGCAGGGCTGAGCCCTGATGCCCATGCAGCATAGAAACATCTCACTGGTTTTCACCACTGAGATCTTCTTGGATTTCCATACCCTAACCATTAGGACCTCATTATTATTTTGTTCTCCTATTTTCCAGGTGAAATGGAGGAACTGGAAACTCTGTGGCTAACAGGCATTTGCCACAACGAGAAGAACGAGGTCATGAGCAGCCAGCTGGACATTGACAACATGGCAGGTGTCTTCTACATGCTTGCTGCTGCCATGGCCCTCAGCCTCATCACATTCATCTGGGAGCACCTGTTTTATTGGAAGCTGAGGTTCTGCTTCACTGGAGTTTGCTCTGACAGGCCAGGACTGCTTTATTCCATCAGCAGGGTAAGCTTCTCTGTGTGTTTCAATTAGTATTATGCTAACCTGTAAGGCCTCCACATCAGAGACCAGGAAGAGCATTAGAAAGGAAGGAACGTCTTCCACGGCTCATGGAAGGAGAACAGGGAGGTGATCTAGTGGGTCTTTCTGGCCAAGGTGTTCCAAAGAGTTGGTGTTGTCAAAGAATGAATCCTTCCTCTGTCATAGTTCATAGAATTGTAGAGTTGGAAGGAACCACGAGGGTAATTGAATACAACTTCCGGCAATGCAGGACTCATTTTGCCCAGTTTGGGGCTCAAACCCACAACCCTGGGGTTAAGAGTATCATGCCCTACCAACTGAGCCATCAAGAAGGTATAGTCTGAATTATTCTCAGCATCCCCATGATGGCTGTGTTCTATCTCAACCATCAGTGACAGTGTGCTTTGGAATGGTAGCTGCTAGGAATCACAGATGGGGAGAAGGTTGCTGTGCTCAGGTCCTGCTTTTGGGCTTCCCATAAGCATCTGTGAGAACACAGACCTGGTCTATATGAGCCAGCAAGCTCTTCTCTGTTTCTTATGTCCAGTGAAAGAACGGCAATGGAGCTAGAGCTCTCAGGTATTCAGCCGATGAGGAAGTGTACATGAGAAGAGATTGTTCCGCTTTCCAAGGGACGGAGCTGAAACTCAGTGGTAGAACTTCTCCCTGGCTTGCAGAAGATCCCAGGTTCCATCTCCAGCATCTTCAGGCAGGACTGGGAGAGGCTCTTGTCTGAAACCCTACTCTGACAGCCAGTGTAGGCAATACTGATGTACATAGACCAATAATCAGACTTAGTATAAGGCAACTTCCTGTTTTCGTGGAAGGAGCAGGGGCATTGGAAGGGGGAGCGGGGGGTGGGTTGCCCTGGGTGCCACCATGGAGGGGGGTGACAAATTATCAAGGAACAATTACTGCCCTACTAGGGTAGTTCATAAAAACTTTTTTTTAAAAAAATGCCTGCTCCAAAGGTCTTATCTTACGACTATAGGGATTATGTAGCTATATCTGAAACGTCATGCTTATCAGTAAATATCTTGACCCTCCTCCATGAAAATAGCTGTTTACTTGGCCGTTTCCCTATGTTGCAAATGCTGAAATTTCAATTCAGTGGAGCAGGGTCAAGATATGCATGAAATTTCAGATATAGCTATATAATCCCTAGTTTAGTAAAATAAGACCTTTGGAGCAGGAATTGTTTTTTAAAAAGGTTTTTTATGAACCGCCCTACTGCCTGACCCTCTGCTGGGCTTCCCAGGTCCTGGAAAGTCGGCCTATGTGAATAAAATGAGACTAGGCTGAGTAGATTAGGCCTTGCCTTGCCTTCTCCTTTTGCAGGCAAATAAATAAATAAATAAAAAATCAATCAATGCTGGGGGGGTGGTGGTGACAAGAAATTTTCCACACTGGGTACCACCTGACCTTCCTATGCCTCTGGGAAGGAGCAAAGCCTGAAAAATTTCAGGACAGAAAGGGAACTAGAAACACATCTTTTGGGGGGGAAAGATATATCAGCATACAGAAGATGTAATGCAAAAGTTTCACGCACACATGGTGCAGAGTTGTGTGACCTCTGTCCCTCACCCTTTACTTTCATAACTCAAAACATTAAATCTGCCTGAGCTTATATTTTGCAGCATTAAATGGCAAAGCACAACATCTCAGGCAAAGTGTCCCCCATTAATTGCTCTCCTTGAAGAAGTGCAATTAGCCTTCTGCACGAAGTAATTTGTCTACGAGAGATGAAGCCATTTTTTAAAAAGAAAAATTGTAATAGTAATAATAATAATAATGCAACTAGTATCAAAAGTGAAATTTTAATTACCAAATAAGCTATTTGTTTAAACAAACAGCTGTAAACATGCTTAGCCTTAATCTCTGGCAACTTACAGTGGTGTGTGTGTGTGTGTTTTAATTAGTTAATTGACTCTGATTCTGTGTTTGCCAAAAATGTTCAGAAAATAGTTGGATGGAACCGCTGAGCTCATATCTAATTCTGTGCGTGAGAGAGAGAGAGAGCGCGCAATTGAGAGCGAGGGAGGGTGGAATCGCACTAGGGTTTTCTCAAAAATATTGTATCCTGGCTCAAATGCACAAATCTTCCTGCACACTTTCTGGCTTGCAGGACCTGTTAGTATGCAGCCTACACTGGCATACCCAAGTTGCTTTGCTGTCCATAAAAATGGTTTGCTGGATCCAGCCAAGATCCATCCAGTCCAGCAATCTGTTTATAGCTTCAGCCAGATGTTCACAAGCTGGTGGACAGGAAGGTTGATTGGCTTCTCCTCTGCATCTCCTCTACTCAGAATCCTCTGGAACACAAACACTCTATTTGGCTGTTCTGGTTAACAGCTGTTGACATGTCCATCTTCCATTAATTCCCCCCAGTCTGGGGCAAGGAAGCAGCCAAGGTGGTTGCCCTCCAGATGTTGTTGGATTCCATTTCCCATTAGATCAGAGGTAGCCAATGTGGTTGGCCTTCAGATGTCATTGGAGTCCAGTTCCCAATGCATCAGAGATAGCCAACGTGGCTGCCATCCAGCTCTTGTCGCGCTCCGTTTCCCATTACTTCAGGTTTGTGTAGTGCAGATGTGAGGAAACCCTTTTCATCCCCCTGGTCCAAATTCCTTTCTGGACAACGTACTACATGCCAACGCTGGCAGGGCCAGAGGCAAAAGTGGGCAAAGCAGTGAATGGGCACATTTCTTTTGGACAGTTGTCTGGTTTCTGCACATTGATTCTCCCACCCTCCTCTGTCCTCCACTCAGGCATGCAAGAGAGGATAATGATATCAGAGTTGGAGGACACAGGCCAGCCAGGCAAAAATACTCAAGGCGGATTAGGACAGGAACAATGGGGGTGGTGGTTTGGGGAGAGTCCTGAGGGCTACATAGAGAGGTTTGGAGGGCCACATCCACCCCTCAGGTCCGAGGTTCCCTACCTCTGGCTTATTGTTTCAGGAAGTGAAAATAGGCAAGCTCGCATGGAAATGTGGTCTGAATTGAATCTCAATCCCTTAGTTGATGCCCGTTTAAAAGGCCCAGGTGGATGGGATTCTTGCACTAACCTGTTCCGGATATGGTATTATAATTATTGCCAGCTGTAAAAACAATCTTCTCCTTTGGTTTCCAGCTAGGTACTAAGGTTGAAGGGGACGCGGGTGGCTCTGTGGGTTAAACCACAGAGCCTAGGGCTTGCCGATCAGAAGGTCGGTGGTTCGAATCCCTGTGATGGGGTGATCTCCCGTTGCTCGGTCCCTGCTCCTGCCAACCTAGCAGTTCGAAAACATGTCAAAGTGCAAGTAGATAAATAGGTACCGCTCCGGCAGGAAGGTAAACAGCATTTGCGTGCGCTGCTCTGGTTCGCCAGAAGCAGCTTAGTCATGCTGGCCACGTGACCCGGAAGCTCTACGCCGCCTCCCTCAGCCAATAAAGCGAGATGAGCGCTACAACCCCAGAGTCAGTCATGACTGGGCCTAATGGCCAGGGGTCCCTTTACCTTTACTAAGGTTGAAATACTGGGGGGCAGATCATTGCTGCCATAGCAGCAGGTTTCAGGAGTTGCGGAGGTTGAGCGCAGGCCAAGCAGAGGGCTTCCTGCAGTTACCTGGTTGGCCTCTGTGGGGAACAGGATGCTGGACTAGGTGGGTCATTGGTTCTGATCCAGCAAGGCTCCTCTTCTGTTCCATTTTGGAAGGAGAGAGAGACCGGGAGCGAGAGAGTGAGAGAGAGTGCCAACTTGCACCCACAGAGCAGGATGGGGCACACAATTGCTCTCTGAGGTCTCCAAACCCTGGTTTGTGATGCAAACAGCATCTTTGCTGATGCCGGAAAACTGCTACTGAATCCCACAGGGCTGCTGCTTCAATCCCCGTGATATCCAACAGTTTGCTGCTGTTTTGCATGAAGGTGCAGGCTGTCCAGGCTATGCAACTGAAATCCTAAGGGTATCAATACCTACCTGTGTAGAATGTCTGTACCTACGCAACAAGGAACATAGGATGCTGTCTTAGACTGAGCCAAGCCAGTGGTCCACCTAGCTCACTATTGTTTATATTTACTGGCAATAGCTCCCTCCAGTGTTTCAGGTAGGGAGTCTCTCCCAGCCCTAGCAGGAAACACCAGGATTTGAAATGGGAACCTTTTGCATGTAAAGCAGATGCTCTGTTATTAAGCTATGGTCCTTCCCCTCAAAGAAAGGGTGGGGAACCTTTTCAAGCCCAAGGGTTTCAGTGGGTGGGGCAGCCTTCCAGGGGTTTGAAGCAAAAGTGGTCAGAACAGCAGGTGTGATTCTGGACTTTTGCGTAGCGGGCTACATTCCAGCCACGCAAAAACCAGTGGTGTCTCTATGCATGGAGAAGGAGAATACACTTGCACATATCATATCTCCATCTCAGTCATCTATCCAGGCAAGCAAGGACACATTCTAGCCAGCAAAAAATATTCAAGGAGGACTTTGCATGAGGATAGTCCTGAGGGAGGGACAGAGAGACCGGGGGGGGGGGCATATTTGACCTACAGGCTAGAGGCTCCCTACCCCCTGATTTGAAGGGTTGTCGATTTGAAACTTTATCCATTTTGTGTTGCTTCTCATTTAGGGTATTTACAGCTGCATCCATGGGGTCCACATAGAAGAAAAGAAGAAGTCTCCCGACTTCACCCTGACGAGTTCTCAAACGAATATGTTGAAGCTCCTGCGGTCGGCGAAAAACATGACCAACATCAACCCCTCCCGGATAAACTCCCCCAAAAGAACAGCCGATTTTATCCACAGGGGGTCCTTGATAATGGACATGATGATGGACAAGGGGAATTTGATCTTCTCTGACAACAACAGGCCCTTTCCCCCAAAGGAGAACATTTTCAGCGACAACATAGGCGACCTACAGACATTCATGGGCAACCGCCACAAGGATAGCCTCAACAACTACGTTTTCCAAGGGCAGCACCCGCTCACGCTGAACGAATCCAATCCCAACACGGTGGAAGTCGCCGTTGCGGCAGAAGCCAAAGGGAACTCGCGCCCGAGACAGCTGTGGAGGAAATCGGTCGAATCTTTGCGCCAAGAATCTCTGCGGCAGGGCTCTCTCCAGCGAGAAAACGATTCTGATGAGAACCGGCAGCATTCGTTGAAAGGCCCAAGGTACCTCCCCGAAGAGATCATCCGCTCAGACGTTTCAGATACCTCGAGCCGGGCCACCTGCCACATGGAGCCTGAAAACAACAACAAGCACCACAAGTCAAAGGACAATGTTAAAAAACGGCCTGTAGCGAAATACCCGAAGGACTGTAGCGAAGTCGAGCTGACATATCTGAAAAACAAGTCTCTGCCT